GAGCTTGGGGTTTTTTAAAAAAAGCTTTTGCTAAGGTACCTCGTTGCAATTGGGGGAAAAAAAAAAAAAAAAAAAAAAAGGGAAACCAGCTTTCCTGTCAAATCCACTGACTGTCTGCTACAAGGACTCTGGCAGTGCGGCTTCTCTGAGCAGCTTGTCCGAGGAAGTCTGCAGAGCTGTATATCAAACAAAAGTGCAGAGACTTCCTTTATTTCTCGGTTCAGAACAAATGGTATTGGAGGAAGGTAAAAGCCATTAAAATATTTGAGTAGACATATATGTTTTGTTGACTCTACTGATCTATACAAGCACATACCAGGCAGAAGACTTGCATGCATCTAATTCTGGTATATTTAAACATATGTATTAATGAGTCATTTTTTGTTATAAAAGCACACAACCCCCATTGCCAGCAACATAATATGTAATACCTACTTTGTAACTTATAAAATACTGACTGATGTGGCCTGAGAGATGAAGTGCTGCCTCTGCTGGAAGTTGAAGAAATGACACACAGTTTTCCTGAGAGTAATCTTCAGAGCCTGGGCATGATATATCAGAGGCACAGGCGTAGACATTCAATTAAAAAAAAAAAAAAAAAAAAAAAAAAAGACTGCCTAGCCCAAGCCTTCATTACCAGGCAGGATACAAATCCTAGCAAGTAACTTTCCCTCACAGGCAAACATGCCCTCAATGGCTTTTTTAAAAAAAAAAAAAACAAAGAAGAAAGGCTGCCTTTTTAAGCTAGAATGACTCTCACTTTTCACTGCGCATCCCTCAGGCAATAAAATAATTTATTTTATGTTTCAATCAGATACTGGAAACAGTGCTTGCTTAAATTGTCTCGGCGTCGCTGGCATGTTAAGTCCGCGGTGGTTTCGCACCGTTCCCGGCTGTGGGGGTGCGAGTCCCACCTCCCGCATTGCCCGGCCCATCCCGGGTGGTCCCCTGCCCGCCTCCTCCCTCGGCCCCCCGGTAAGAAGGTGTCTCTTGACCAGATTGATCATTTACTGGGCTGGTTTTCTGTGGTGCGAATCCTACCCCGGGAGTATTTAAAGTTGCTCCTTCTCTGTAGCTGACCTGGATTGTTGTTAGAACAACATTCCTGTTGGGTGAGTCAAATAAAAAGTGGCCACAGATACAATAGAAACTGAAGCAGAAGCAGCAGTTTTTCGTATTTATTCCTCTTGCTAGAGCTGGGAGATTTAATTTGCTAAGGAGGCTAGAATGCAAATTGGAGAAACCAAATCAGCAGGTAAAGTCTCTCCTCAAGGCCACATAAATTCACTGAATGGCATGTTTTCTCCTTAGCAAATCTTACCATAAAGACCACAATAGGATCCACACGGTGAAGAGCAGCTGTCTTGTTTAAAACAATCCAGCACCCTTGCTGTCATTTCTCTTGATGGCTAGGGAGTCTTCATTTTCCATTCTATAATCCTTAAGACATGAATGTACTTAGGCTAAAAAATTCATTAAACATTAATGTAAAGCCTGCTTTAACTTCAGACTGTTTGCTTCCCAAAGATAATTGTTTAAGAGAATGAACTGTACTCCCTTTGCGGCTTTTCTATATATTTTTCAAAAACTAATACTAGAATTATGAAAGACAGGAGTAAGTACAGCAAAGTAAATTAAATCAAATTGCTAAAGCCTTGGGGAAGAGCTAATACAAATGAGTTAAACACATATAAGTTCCAAACAGCTACGGAGTAAGTTTTCTTCTGAGCATTGTTACTCTCAGAAGATGCCCGAGACACTAGTACCTTCGTTAGCTGCCAAGGCACTATCTTGTAAAAGCAAAAAAACAGAAAAATAAACTGTTAGCTCTGGCTACTATCATATATTGCAGTTTTTATCATCCCTTTCCTTTTCCATTAAAGTTATTACCTGCGAAAGTGTAACTCTGAAATGAGCAACCAAAGTTAATTTTCTTTTTCTGTCACTGTGTATCATCTGTTCATGGATAGATGGAAATTCCGTATTTTAAAGATGATTTTGACCTTAAAGGCAGGGAAAAGTTTCATTTAAAAGCTATTTATAAGGCTAAAGTATCTTATAAGTAAATAAAGCAGGGGAAGAAGAAAAAGGCGACTGAATACCAATATATGCTGAAAGTCATTAAAGCAGAGCTGCCGTGGAGAAGTGAACAGAGAATTATTGTTCACTGAATATGGTGCGTCAAATGAAAACAGCAAAACAAACAAAAGAAGAGGACACTACTGCAAACTGTAGGCAGGTTTTGGATGTTCAAACATTAAACAGGCTTAAAAGTAATGGGAGAAAATGTTAGCAAAATGATGTTAGGGGCTATTTAATGCATCACATGCAGAGCTTTCGGGAAGTCCCTGTCCCAAAGCTCCCCAGTGCCCTCTGTGCTCTCCCTCTCCCCCAGGCACTCAGGACCAGTGGAGGATGCTGGGCCAGGAGGGTCTTCAGCCAGATTCTCCTTGAGCAGCCTTATGCTGTATTATTCTATCTGCTAATCTGTATCCGGCTCAAGATTGGTGATAATTTCACCTGGATTTAAAAGTATATTCTGGTGCTGGCTGTTAGGGTAAAAGCAATAGGGCTGAAGAGGTTATAGATGTGGAATTATCAGGGATGAAATGGAAAGGAAACCTGGAAGGCTTACTTCTCAGGGCAGAGAAATGGATGGATGATAGTAAATATCAGTAAATTCGATTAGCACATTCTCTGATATCTCTTATATATCATGATTTAGAAGGTATTTGGAAAATACGAACAATTGTGAGACAGGGTAGTTATAGGAAAATAGGAGAATATGTGAAAGGCAGATCAGGTTTGACTACCTAAACAGCTCTCTCTCGGGAGAAAGCTGAGATCTGGCACATTTTCTTTCCCAATAATAACTCTTATCTTTAAGCCAACAATTCCCTGTGAAGCTACTGCCTTGGGAAACTATTAGTGAAGCAGAATAAGGTGGAGAAATTGTACAGTGAGGGCAGATGAAGCCACTATTGGGTTGTGCTGAAAGGGCAAGCATTAGGCTGGAGAGAGAGACTAGTGGAATTTCTCATTAATTTATCTTCTTTTGTATTTTTATTCTGTGCTTGGGTGCAAAGAATAGTCACGCTGTGATGAAATTTTCCGATAACACAAAAGTGGGGGATATTACCAATGGAAAGAAGGCTTGTGGTATTGAGGATTTAGGATTTCTGGTCTTTTATTTGCAGTTATCTATGGCTGTACCACAAGGCCCATGTACCAGTTGAGAATCTGGCTTCAAAATTATACAAAGCCATATGATACTTAATCTACAAAGAGGAAGGGTCGGGCTGGGATGGATGGGGTTTTGAATCGGCAGTTTCCACATCGTCTCTTCTTCATCAGTCATTTTGTGGGGAATCTCAGTCAGCGGCAGTTGTCCTCAGAGTTAATATCTGCCGTTTCATCAGCCGGTACCACTGAGCCCTGTATCCCACCTCTGAAGCTATTCACCACTTCTGCCCCTCTGCTCACCTTGCCGCCAAATCGTGGTTGTCCTCTCCCAGTACTTCCAAACTTGGATCATGATACAAGATAAATGGTGGTTATTGCAGTGAGCTACAAATACCGTAGCTGGATGTCACGAGCTCTAAGGAATTGTTGTCTTAATACGACAGTCTCCAAATTTACCTTAATTTCAGTTACTCTGTGTTTAACTGGATTGTTGTCTAAGCAAGAGATAGTGAGCTGCAGTACATGTGCAAGTATGGTTCCTAATTTACAGCTGCCATTATGTAGGAAATAAAATATTCTGAGTCTGAAGGTTATGGGTACCTGTGATGGAGATACCAACCAATGAAGAACCTGAGGACAAGATGCTCCTGGAGAGAAAATGGTGAAAGCAAGCTCCTTCTGAAAGGAGCATGGCGTGGACTTGGTGAAGATCATTCTCTTGCAGAGCTTGTCAGGGATTTTACATTTTTAATGTTTATGTCTATAAGACAGCTCTTTTAATATGGATGCAAAGATTTAATGTATCTTACTGGCTCAGGAGGCCTTCAGGATTTCTTCTTCCTCATGGGCTAAGAAGTGAGCTGTGTTTTTTTTTAAAGAACCAAAATGTCTTGTCACTCACTGTTTTGCATCCAATTGCAAACACATGCACGTTTTTCATGCACATTACCTGATCTAAATGGCTGCGCCAACGAGAGATGGCTGCCAACATGATTCTGTCCAGTTTACCCTTATTCTTCTGCAATGATTAAGTTATCAAGAGGCAAAGGGGATGGTGAAGTTTGGCTTTTGCACACACAGTATGTTGGCTATATTTTATTTATTTTGTATTTTGCTGGAATCAAAAGTCTGTCAGAGTTTGTAGCTGCAAATCTAAATTATTTAAAATGCAGTTTAATTCAAGTTATAGGAAAATGGCCCATTCTGTGCTTCCTGAAATATCAAAATTACCACCTGAGTGGATGGAAAAGATTAACGTATGATTATATATTTTTTTGAAGCCTGAAGGCAGCTGCCAGGACGGGGTGTGGAGGGGTCTCTGTGCTGCCTCATCAGTCCGTCTTCTGCCGCTGCAAAGTTAGGTCCCCCACCGAACGCAGAATCGCTGCCTCAACTCTGTGCCAGGGTCGCTGTTGCCTTGTGCGCGTTATCTAAACCGAGACAAGGTTTTGACCTCTTTTTCTCCCCCCCTTGCTTTTCTGGAAAGTCCTGTGTGTCGGAGTTGGTGGTTCCTGGGTGAGGCTCGGGGGGGCTGAGCCGCCCGGCCTTGCACGGGACCTCTCGCTGCCTCGCGAGCGATAACGTCGGCGAGGATGCACAGTGCCTTTAAGTCCCCTGCAGAAAACGTCGATGAGCAGGGTGCGCTGCTTTGCGTGTGTACATGTCTGTAATTAGCTGATCGGTGATTGTCCAGGGCTGTAGGCTTACCGCCACGGAGTTCTCCTCTCGTGGATGCCGGGTTTCAGCAGCGGCTGGTTAACTCCGTCTTGCGCTGATTCGCTCACGAATCTCCTGCTCTCCCTTCCCGTCTCCCGCAGACCCCCCCGCCGTGGAGCCCACCTTCCTGGAGATTCGGCAAGGCCAGGGCCGGAGCATCACCATGAGCTGCCGGGTCCTGAGGGCATATCCCACCCGGGTCCTCACCTACGAGTGGCGCCTGGGCGGCAAGCTGCTGCGCACCGGCCAGTTCGACGTGCAGGATTCCACCGAGTACACCGTCGGCAGCCTCTCCCGAGACAGCTACGGCATCTACAACTGCAACATCATCAACGAAGCGGGCGCGGGCCGGTGCAGCTTCCTCGTGACAGGTAGGCTTGGCGGTGTCCTGGCGTGCCGAGGCGATGGGCTGAGCGGGCTGCAGGCTTGCGTGTCGTCGGGGAGCGCTGCTCCTGCTTTGGCTAACGAGCTGCCAAAGAGATAAAGCCTTGGAAGCAGAGTCGTGGCTTAAGGCATCTGGTTTGGATTCCAGGGAGGTTGGAAACAAGCTAGGAGATTGAGCTTACTTCAGTGGTTTGAGGATAAAGATTTTTACGTGAAAAATGTAAATATCCCTTCTGGGCAGGCATCTGTCAGTATGCTTTTAGAGAGGTCTGAGAGAGTCGTCAGGCAGTAAATTTCTTCTAGTTAAAGTTTGCAATAAGGCTTGCATTTCCTCTTCTCTTTTGGTATGCTCAGCAAGCTCAGAGACTGGGGTGGGCAGACCACAGTCTCAAGTAACTTCAAGCTGCCCAAGTACAGAGGGGTGTTGAAATCTCTTCCTTTTCTCAAAAAGCAAAGGGCTTTGTGAAGTTAGTACACAAGATCACAGACCCAGGGAGGATGTGCAGCCCCTGCCATGATCTACCCATGTTGTGTAATTAATGCTCTGGATTGAGACAAACTTTATATGTCTTTTATCTTTAGCATCTTGGATCTGAATGTCAAATTGGGTGTTTAGACAGGCAAGACTTGATTCTTCCTCTAGCAGAAATGAGCTACCATCACCTGAAGACTCAGCTGCCTGATCCTGCAACACCCCGTGCCTGCAGCAGATGTTGTGCCCAAGCTGAGATCCCCTGGTCGCTGGAGTCACATCAGCTGTAGGTTCCCCATCCCTGGACCTGGTTGTCCAGGCACTTTTTAGAATCACTGGGGTGAGAAAAAAAGCATCTCTATTAAGCGAACCATCTCCTCCCAAGGCCTGCAGTGGGTCAGGAAGCTTCCGTCCCTCTGCACCAGCTGAAAGGGGTGTCCAGCCACCTGCCCTGTGTGGGCTGTCTCCAGAGGTCAGCACGAGCAGCCTCGCCCTCCCTAAGGATGTCCGAGCAGTAGCCCCATTTCAGCTCAAAATCCCTCCCATCTCCTCCTTGAAAAGGAACGATGGGAAAAGAAACCAGCAAAAGAAATTCAGAATACGTAGAGGAAAGCTATCTTAGAAGGAAAGATCCCCTACCTTAGTTGGGATTTTGTTTGTGTTTAATTGACTTGGGTCCAGCTACAGTTAATCTAAATGAGGTTTTACTTTCAGGGTTGCTGGCAGCCTGGCAGCTCCCTGAACCTTGTCATTATTTAGGAAAATGGGAGTTGTTATCAGTTCCACTGCTACCAGCAGAAAGTGCAAGGATTTAATGGATGAGCTGCAGAGCACCTCTCCCAGACCCTGTCCTGCACAGGTCCTGGATGTCAGGGTAGACCCTCCATGCACATCTGTCCTGGGAGTAAAGGAAAAAATTCGATTCAGTTCCTGAGTGTTTTTCAGTAAAATTTGGTTTCATAGGAAAAAATGTGGGCCTGCTTTCATGTGTTGGTTTTGTTTTGTTTTGTTTTGTTTTGTTTGTTTTTAAATTTTTTTTTCTCTTCCGGGCTTAGTTGAATGGCATCATGTTGGCAGGGATTTCATCAGGCCAGTGGCACACGGCACAGATGTGGTGGGAGCACAGCGAGCACCCCAGTGACTGACGGCTCTGCTTCTTTCAAAATGTAATCAAGCCTTTGGCTGACTTACCACTCAGAGCCTGCGCGGAGGCACTTCCACAGCCACTGACTTCTCCAAATCTTTAGAGTTTAATACAAAAGGTGGCTCCAAAGGAAACCAGAGAAACAGTCGTCTTCCTCAAATGAGTAAATGCAGTTCAATTTACTGTTCATCATGCTTTGGACCCAAGACTGTGGAAACCTATTCTAAGGCAATTATTTTGCCAAGACTGGGGCAATCTGAGTGGCTTTCTGTGATTTATTACCATGCCAAAGTAAGCTGCATAACTGAAAATTAGTACTAAAATGGTTTTATTATGTACTCTCTCTCGCATCCCTCCGTGTGTCTTGCTCATTTTTAGTTTATACCATTATGCTACTTTATGCTGTATGGTTGGGTTAAGGATGCTGAAAGTAACTCTTTTACTTTCATGTCTTCCTCAGTCTTTTAAGGTTAAACCCGACGTATTTAGTAAATAGATTCTTTGACACGTGGAGTTGAAACTGCTCTCAGGAAAGAGGAGCAGCTGTATTCTGGTCCCGAGTCTCATCAGGACAGATGAAGTTCAAGCACTGGGGAACTGAAAATGTGTGGAAGGAAAATGACAAAGTGGTTGAAAAGGAGGCTTATATTCCACTGGGAACGTGAATACAGAAAAGAAACGGGTCATTTCTTAGACACACACATGGGGGAAAAAAGCCAAATAAATAACCCAGCGGCAGGAATCTGGTGACAGTGGAGAGCTTTTCTTTTGGCTGGGATAATGGGAGTTGTTGTAGCCCATTTTTAGGTGGTTATATTTCCAGGTTTTCATGTAGCAGTGGTGTACTGCAGTGCTCATGTTGCAGGGGCTGCAGAGAAACATTGGTATGCTAAGAGAAAGGTTTTCAGTACAGTATTAAAAGCAGCCTGGATTAAAAGATTTATACTGGTCCTAGATTTTGCAAAACCTGTTTTTACTGCATTTGTATTTCGAGCCAGATTTGAGAAGATGAAAGCAAAATAAATCACGTGTGGAAAAGGGGGTTAATTCATATCAGGTGGGCCAATCTGCGGCAGATTTAACCTGCTGCTGTCTTAAAGACAAATAAGAACATACGAGCAAAATTGTATTTGTGGGAAAGCAAAGTTGAGTTCATGTTACTCACAGCTTCCCTATCTATATATTTTATTCGGCGGTTGATAGTGCATATCATATCCGAAGAGCACCAAGATAAACATTTCAGGCAGTGTGGTGTTAAAACCCTGCCAAGGCTGAAAGCAAATTAAAAAAAAAAAAAAAAAAAAAGGCAGAAAACGTCATGAATGGCACGGACGGTTGAGAAGCCTCCATGCAGGTGGAGGAAGGAGTTGAGTGCTGGAGGAGGAGGCTGGCAGGGTCCCTGTCCCCAAAGAGACTGCTGCTGGCGAGGGGGGCTCCTCGTGGGGCAGATCTGAACCCTCCCGGGGTCCCATCCTGGCTCCCTCCAGCCCAGGCCACCCTGGGGACACTTGTCCGCAGCCTCTCGGCCCTCCTCAAGGCAGGCGAGGTTGAACTGGGAGGTCAAACTCTGTATTTTCTGGGTTCCCAGCATGCACAAGATTGATGAAGCGAGCCCTTGCGTTGCTGTCGGAAGGGCTGGTGCTACAGTGCGGGTTGTTTATCAATATTCTGTGACCCTGGGGAGCTGTTTAGGATTAAGATTACCTGTAATTGAGGTTACCTGACAAATCTTGGCATAACACTTTATTTTGGGCAGCTTATAACTTTGGCAACCTTTAAGCACTTGGGCTGGAATTTGCTGTGCTGGTGGCTGCCTCAGGCCGAAATGTTCGCAAAAGTTGCTGTCCAAAGAGGTTTTTTTAACTCAGAGAAACAGTATTTTGTTTCATCCGTGTTAAATTCTTGCAGCTGCTTAATCAGTATGTTTGAAGGGGCCAGATAAACATCCTTGCATGATTCCTTGCTTAAGTTACATGATGAAATCTGTCTGTCCGTAGTTTATGGTGCTGCCTTGACAATGCCATATATAATTTGTGAGATACTATTTAAATTAATAATCATAACACTGGGTAGTAGTAAACAAAGCTACCAATGACAATAAGTTGATGTAGTTACTTTTACCAACTAACTTCTGATCCTACCATTGAGCAAAAATGGTTTTGAATATTGATTTTGTGTTGTTCCGTTTCGTGGAACTTTTCCACCATAAAATATTGCAGTAATTAACGAGCCGTTCTTTAATTATTTACCTACCCAGTCTTGCGTCACATTTTCAGTGCTTCTGGCCAAGAGCAACGTCAAGCCAATCAGCTCATAATTATGTAGGTTATAATTGTTAGCTCCCAGCATGACCACGGCTTTCCCTTTCTTTGGAGCCTCATGGTGTTGCTGAATTAAAGACAGAGCAGAGCACACTCTGAGCAAACCTGGGGGCATGCACGTACCCACCCGTGTCCGCAGTCTAGCTGGGGGTGTCCGCTCAGTCTGCCAGAGGATCTCCCATCTCCTGCCTTCCTTCCCCCCACGCCTTAGGAAATCTGACTCTGAGGAGCTGGACACCAAATCGTTCCTTCTGTATCCATCCCCGGTAGGAGCTGTGCGATTCCTCGTGCAGCTTCGTGGGAACATCCTTGCTGGAAGCCTCTTCAGCAATTTCTGCCTCGGTGTTTCGTCTGTGCCCTTGGCACCATATGAAGTAGTGCTGGGGTCTGTACAGCGTTGAGCTGAGGTCCTATCAGAGTCACCATCCAGCCTTTTGTGAAAGCCGGGATGCTTTTTCCACAAGGGCATCACCTTAAAATAAATTGCAGACACTTTAAATTGCAGAGTATCATGTTCTTCTCCCTGGCCCTGTTAGTTGAATTAAACAGTGTTCTGCCATTTCGAGTTTTATAGCTTCGTTAATCCTTTTTTATTAGGGAAGGTGTTTTGCACTGAACTAAGGGACAGAATTGTATATTGTTTGCAGCTTGCCATTTTAGTTGGGGTTTTTGGTAGAAACTCTGTGGGATTCATGTAAAGCAACAAGCAAAAATCCTGTTTTAGAAAACTTGTTTGAAAACAGATTCATTGCACTCTTTTTACCTGCACAATCCCAAAGTGCCAGTGAACTGTTTTCACTCTACAATGGTTTTGGACAGTGTGAAGGCAACTTCCCAAGCAAGTAAATCAGTGCAATTTCATGAGCTGAACTGGGTGTCTTTTGGCTGGAAGACATGGCAATGCCTCTAATGTCAGTTGTGTTCCTCATTGCACGGTTGCCCGTTGTGGAATGATTGACCAGTGTCCAGACTGGTGGAGAGACGTGCAGGAGCTGCGGGTTGTATTTTTCTTTACAAATGCTTTGAATTCAGCAGTTTTCCTCTCCCATT